TTACAAAGATGGGTTACAAAGTTGGTTGACAAAATAACAATAATTTCAAAAACATATTTTTAAATCATTTCAAGTCAATAGCGGGAATTTTGCCATCACACTTTGTAATCCAACTTTTGTAACCCAACTTTGTATAAGTAGTTTTATTGTAATTCTTATTAGAGTGTTTTTTTTTTTAACCATATAATGAAGAGAAAAGAAACGATTTTGCAATTTTTTTCAATAAAATTGTAAATTGAGGGAAATAAATTTCTCCCCAACAGTACTGATGTTGATTGACATGGTTTTAGTGCGTTTTAACGTGCTTGTCTGCATAGAATTTTTTAGCTACTGCATGTTAAATTTGGTTAGTTTGTTGAATCTCGTGTAATTTGCTTTAAGTGAAAAGATGCTAAGATTCAAATGGGCCTGCGTGGAACAAAATAGAAAATCTGAATTAGATTGGAAATTCTAGTTTCATAGGCTGATGATGTGCACAATTTTATTTATGTGTTCTCCTTTTTGTCCTAGAATGAGGTCACTATTGTGCTTAATAGTTAATACCACCTTGTTTGATCTTTTTCTGGTATTGAATGAAGCTTTAAGTTGCCATTTTCTTTTGCAGTTTTCCTGAATAAATCTTATAAAGCCAAACATTTTTTTCTGATGGCTAATTGAATCCGCTTTGAACTGAAAATTAGTGATAATATATTTCTTTCATTTGTAGTCAGTGAGTCCAGCGATGGATCGAGTCTCATGGGAAGTTCAACAGAGTACAGTTCTGGAGACGAAACTGACATGAGTGATTCTGAAATTGAGTATGAGGAGAAAATATATGAAGAACTGAAGAATGGTAATCACCTGTATAAAGTATCTGATGACGCTTTCAGTTGCCCCTTCTTTCCAAATAAAAGGAAGCGAGATTTCCTGTATAAGGAACTCCAGCAGCATGCACTTGGTGTTGGCAAGTGCAATTCACAGAAGCGAACCAGGAAAGACAAAGCAAATCATCTTGCATTGGCAAAATACTTGGAAAATGATGTAGCCATTGACGCTGATCCTTTACAGCAAGCTACTATGGTCGATCCGCTTGCAGACCATGATCATAACGAGATATTTGTCTGGCGTTGGATTGGAATTATTGTTAACATTCCTACTGAATTTAAGGATGGTCGTTAAGTTGTGGAGAGTGGTACTAAACTGAGGGATCAATTGATCAAGAGAGGATTTAATCCTACTAGAGTGCGACCTCTCTGGAATTACCATGGACATTCAGGAACTGCTCTTGTAGATCAAAAGGAATGGTTTGGGTTCAATAATGCCATGTCTTTTGAGAAGGCTTACGAGGCTAATCAGCATGGAAAGAGAAGTTGGCAGGCAAAAAATGACTTGAAATCTGATCTGTATGGGTGGGTTGCTCGTGCAGATTACTACAATTCTGATGCTATTTTTGGAGAAAATCTACGTAAGATTGGAGACCTCCGAACTATTTCTGATATCATGGAAGACGAAGCTCGGAAAACACAAGCTTGTTGGTTGTTGGCAATTTAACAAACGTCATCGAGTCAAAGAAAATGCACTTGCTAGAGATGGAGAATAAATTTATGGAGACAAACAACTCTCTTAGCCAGTTGATGATGGAGAAGGATCAGCTTCTTCAAGAGTATAATGATGGTGTATCTTCTCTGCAATACGGCATTGAGCTAATTAAATCTTACTAGTTTTTTATACTGATATGTTTGTTTGTATTGATCGGAGTCAAGTGCACAGGATCATTTCCAAAAGATATTTAATGACCACAAGAAGCTGAAGTTGCAACTAGAAACACAGAAAAGAGCGCTTGAGCACTGGGGTCATGAATTGGCGAAACGTGAGACTCATAATGAAAATGAGAGGAGAAAGCTTGATGAGGAGCTTGAAGAGGTGCTTCATTTCTTTCTTTCATATCTTTCTTGTTTGTGTAAGTTAATGATGTTAAATAAGATTATGGAATTCGTCAAATATTACAGTTTGACGTCTATATTATCATTATAATCGTATTATATATTGATAGATTTTTTTATCATATTTAAATTATAGGTTATCGTTAGTTAATATTATTATTGATTGTTATCATATTTAGTGGTGATTTTGGTTCTATATAATGAGAGAATTTTTCACATCGAGGGGAATTGAGTCTTATTGAATACCATTGAGTACATTAGATCTGAGCCGTTCCGATCCTAAACAAATTAATCCTTGAATTTCGTTTCAAGGTTGCTCAACCGGCCTAATTTTTTTTTCTTTTTGTTTGAATAAACATGATCCTTCTCACAACCCTCTTCTATCATCGAATATCGAATCCGAAAACTCTGTAATGGACCTTTAAGATGTTAAAACAAACCTAGTGTTGATACTAGATTTTGGTTCCCAGTACACCCGCTCTGCATCAACGGCACATTGTCCCTCAAATCCATAGCTAACCTGAACCCGCATGTCATTATTCTTTTTGGTGGGCCACAAGCGTCCACACGATGGATGTGCCTTGTTTTCCAGCTGGGTTCATGGAGCATGTTGAGTTGAACAAGGTTAATGTTTTGGGGATATGCTATTAGCTGTAGTTGATTGTGCAAAAATCGTGAGGTGAGGGTTGGCAAGAAGCAGGAGTATGGGACGATGGAAATCGAGGTAGAGAAGGCTTT